CATTTTTAAATATAATGGGAGCGGAGCGCGTAATCGCGATGGTGCGCGAGCGGGTCCTGGAGATTGAAATGCAGAAGCGAAGGGGAGAGGGCAGAGGGAGCAAAAGGAAACGGGGAGCGGGAAGGACCGAAGGAAGGCGGCTGTGCAGGTGGGGGGACAGACAGGATGGTCGGACAGACGGCAGGACCCAGGCCCGGAAGGGATTAGGAGAAATAACAAGCGGGGTGCTGCCGGCCGGGGCGGGAGAGCTCTGCACCCCGTTTCCTTCCCGCCACAGCTTGCTCAAGGGGGGCGAGAGACTCTGTCACGAACAAGGGGCTTTCTTGCACCCACGTTACTCCGCTGGGCCTAGAGACGAACGTGTAAACCTAAAAGCAGTAGTAGAAAAGTCAAGGTGCCGTAAATTTAAACCTTTTGGAGCCAGAGGGTGCGAAGGCACCCACGCGGTGCTGCGGGACCGGGAGCAGGGCTGGGGAGGGCCGGTACCGTGGGGAAAGCACGGTGCTGCTGCGTGGCAGAGGCTGCCGTCCCGGGGGCCTGCCCAAGGGATACCCCACATGCATACACCCCCCTATAAAACTTCGAACTTTCTAGATCCCAGGCCCTATTTTCACTGATCTATGTCTTCCCCCCAGTCCTCTCCTGGACTGGAAAGTGTCCTCTTTTCCACAATGCACCGTGCACATGCTGCACTATGCTCGGAGATACTCTGGGACAGAGACACGTGGTTATTTGTACCCCGCAGTGAAATGGTGAGAGAAAAGCAGAAAAGACTTAAAAAGATAAAGGCCTTTCCAAAGGGCAGACATACCACATAATACAAAAATGCCTGATCGCTCCTAACTGTGAAAACGCCACCAGGTCAGCGCTGGTCCCCCCTCAGCAGCGCTCCAGAAGCTGGCCTGCCGCTGGCCGCCAGGATATCAACATGGAGTGTGTCCCCCCAGTGATGTGAACAGGGCCATCTTCCAGCATGGCCGGAAAGCCAAATGAGAAACATGGCCGCCTGTGAGGGGGGTGCCCCTGCCAACATGGAGGTTCTCCCGTGGCTGTGTTACACAGGTGTGGGGATACCTGGTCTGAAGGAGGGGTGGCCTCCCTCCGCAGCTGGAGGCTGGGTTTGTTCCTGGAGTCAGAACTGCCGATACCCCGCTCCAATGGACTGCTGCCTCGGGAGCACCCAAAGCCACCAGCACCCCCATTTCTCACACAAAGTAATGGTTCAGAGAGAGCACTCACCTGCTCATCGCACTTCCAGCCGAGCCGCCGGCCCCTGTGGAAGCCAAGCTGGAGTCCCAAACAGCATCCCTAATGCCGCCTTCTGTTCTCAGTGGGTACTGAAGACAGCATCAAGTTTGGTGCCTCAAAGGACGACTCCATCACATGTTGCATACGGGTCAAGGAGGCCTTTCTCTGTACTTCTTCTTTGAGCACGAGTTGCCGCCATTTTGCCTGTGCCACAGGCTACCGAGCACCCGTTTCCGAATGGCTTTGCAAAGCTGTCGTGCATCCTGCCCGTAGGGAAGAAGGGCATAGATGTCCTCCCAGGCGGAGGTGGCACCCGCTGCCACGAGGGCCCCATCTTCTGCCCTGGCCGTGACGTTTGGAAGAAGGGACCTGTTCACAAGCCCTGGCATGTGGTGTGAGAGTATGTAAGATGGGTGATGCTGCGTGGGACATTGCGTATTCACAGAGCTGCAATGGTCTCCACAGGTGTAAGTCATCCAGATGGTCCAGGCGCACTAGAAGACTTTCGGTGCCAGAAGAAATCCAAGGCAAGGATAATGCAGGCAGTCAGGATTTTGGCCTCAGAGGGACAGTGTACGCAGCCAATATTAGTGCTTTTAGCATATCGGCTTCAATTTGTCTTCAACAACCACCTCGATGGCCAGAGTACCGAGTTCCGTGAGATTCTGAGGCCGGAACTGTTCCTGAACAAAACCGTTGACAGCCACTGGGACCTGGCTGCGCGTTTCGTCGCGCTCCCTGCTGTAGATGTTACTTTGAACGCCTTGTAGATGAAGAGTAGATGTGGGAAGGCAGCAACAGCAGCGTGCCCCATGAGGGAAGGCAAGCTGGGAGCCGTGGGCAGCCACAGGCGGGGCGCAGTCCCGTGGCCCCGATGCAGATGGCGGCACAAAGTCCCTCAGCCGCGATGCAGATGATGGCGCGCAGTCCCGTGACCCCAATGAAGATGGCGGCACAAAGTCCCTCAGCCGCGATGCAGATGATGGCGCGCAGGCCCCTGGCCCCAGGCGGGTGGGCAGAGCAGGGTGGTGACAGCCACAGCTCCACCACCAGCGCAGCTCTCCCCAGACAAAGGTCAGTATTGAGCGAGGCCTGAG